TGAAAAAATAAATAAATTAAAGAATTATTTATAACTTTAAAATCAATATAAGTTAAATTAAATACTGGTTAAATTGGTATATCTTTATTATCATTAAATGTTTTCAAAAATACTTAGCTGAGATATAAGGATTGTTACAGTTAAAAAACAAACACAAAATATTTCAACAACTTAAAGAATATTAGGTGAACTGTGAAGACAAGATTGAAGAAATTTTTAACCATTTTTACGAGGCAATTAAACAAGTAATTGTCCGGGTTTCGTATTCTTTATAATCGCTTGCAATAAAAAAAATATAAAATGGGGCAAATAAAAATAATGTGGAAGCTTTTACTGCAAAATGTATTTTGATATATGTGTGATTTAGCCTCAGTTGCTGACATGTTTTATTTATTTTATTCCCCATTTTCTCACTTGTGCTTAAAATACCGTAAAAATCTGCTTACATTTCGCTCATCCACAAAATTGCATAAACATTTCCTAATTTATTTCATTACTCGAGCGAAGATTTCAAATTTACTTAAAAATGTATCAAATCGCGCCCCACCTACTCCATGTTGCAATTCCGTAAAATGTCAATAATAATAAAATCGAGTTCTTGTGAAACGCTCTGAAAAAGAAATGTATCATCCGAAAACACACAAAACACCTCTCATTTGCGATGCTATAAAAGCGAAAGGATTCACCAAATCGGCATCATTTGCTTGATAAAACGCCACAGAATGAAACTGGTAAGTCTTACACAACAATTACAAGTGATTGTTTGCATTCTCTCTTTTTGTGATTATTCCAGCTTGTCTTCACCGCGTTGGTGTGCGCCGCCGCCGCAGCTGGGCGCTTGGATAACAATTACGTGCAAGGGCAAGTCCGCACCGGCCCCACGCCGCCGCCCCCGGCCATCCTCAGACTCAACAACGACAATAGGGGCGACGGCCGCTACAAGTTCGAGTAAGTTTTCACACTTAAAACAACTTCGAAATTAAATTGGCAACACGTTTAAATCCGACAGTATAAAGTTGCCAACTTAAATTGGCAACACATTTAAATCTGACAGTTGGCAACACGTGTGTATTTGACTGTCCAAAGTTGATAACTTAATTTGGCAACATGTCTGGATTTGACAGTGTCAAGTTGCCAACTTAAGTTGGCAACACATTTAAATCTTACAGTTGGCAAAACGTGTCTATTTGACAGTCCAAAGTTGCCAACCTGAGTTGGCAACACGTCTGGCTTTGACAGTGAAAAGTTGGTGGTATTTTATTGTAAAATTTAGAAAATCGATGGTTTGACTTAAATTCTTTTAGCAACATTAACATCAGAAAAGTAAAATATTGTACATTGGCATAGAAGGCTTTTGACTATCATTTGGTGTAATTTTATTTGTTTTCGTTATACAGAGTATCTATCAGAATTCAGAAGTGACCAAACTGTGTAATTTTTTAAATCATAAATTGTAACATCTTGTATTTTTTGTTTTGTTGTATTCTAATATTAATTTTAATATACATAAGTGCCACTTTTTGTTTCTAAATTTTTATTGCGGTGTTGCCAAATTGTTGATATTTTATTGGGAAATTTGGAAAATTTATGGTTTGACTTAAATTCTTTTAGCAACGTTGTTATTAACATCAAAAAAGTAAAATTTTGTACGTCGGCAAAGAAGGCTTTGATCTATCAATTGCTGTTATTTTATTTGTTTTTGTTATACGAGGTGCCCATCTAAAATTCCAGTAATTCACAAATAATTTCAGTAATTCTCAAAAAAAATCCAACGAAATTCTAACAATTTATCGTAATTGCATTGCTTTTAGATTAATTCTTATAGTTTCAAATTTAATTCCAACTTAATTACAAAAAAATTCCAGTAATTCACAAATAATTTCAGTGATTCCAAAAAAAAAAATTCAGGAAGATTCCAGTATCCATCG